TCACCTTTATGTCTCTATGGAAACACGACAGGTACCCTTACGAGGGGAGAGTATCAACTCGGCGTTTATAAACCCTCTCTGCAAAGGAGGTAGGCGCATGGTGGGTTAGGTATATACAGTGTTCTTCATTGCAGAGAAAATTGTTGTTTATCTGCCTGCCTCGTCTTCATTGAGATAGTTGATGAATCGATGAATTACAAAAATATATCGCGTATCAGTTACGAATGTTGAAAACAATATCCAGACTTTTCATAGATTCATATTCTATGTAGGTCTCACGATTCAAATTTGAAATTAATACTTAGTTTTAGTTCCGAGCAGTACATTATTGTTTGGCCTTCAAGATCCTTAATATAACCCACGTAATTGAAAATGTGGAGGAGATGCCTACTGGCAAAACCACTATTCGGAAAGAAAGCAGATATGTAGCAATCCAGTTACGGACGATGAAAATATCATTCAGGTATGTCTCAGTTAAATATACTTCGATTAATATGTGGAATGATGTTTAGTTTCATGCAGATCCGAAGAGCAGTATTTGATACTTGCCACTCAATCGGAGAAAACCATCCAATCAAGACGAACCGAACCGAAGATCCGCAAAGAGAACTGACCAGTGTATACTTTACAGAATTTAGATCCTTATACTCGTACGGAAGGCGATATATTGATATCCTTTCCAGATTTTCCAGATTCTCAAGGAGACAGATAGACATATATTCACCTTTATATCTCTATGAAAACACGACAGGTACCCTTACGAGGGGAGAGTATCAACTCGTCGTTTATAAACCCTCTCTGCAAAGGAGGTAGGCGCATATGGTGGGTTAGGTATATACAGTGCTATTCATTGCAGAGAAAATTGTTGTTTATCTGCCTGCCTCGTCTTCATTGAGATAGTTGATGAATTGATGAATTACAAAAATATATCGCGTACCAGTTACGAATGTTGAAAACAATATCCAGACTTTTCATAGATTCATATTCTATGTAGGTCTCACGATTGAAATTTTAAATTAATACTCAGTTTTAGATCCGAGCAGTACATTATTGTTTGGCCTTCAAGATCCTCGATATAACCCACGTAATTGAAAATGTGGAAGAGATGCCTACTGGCAAAACCACTATTCGGAAAGAAAGCGGAAATGTAGCAATCCAGTTACGGACGATGAAAATATCATTCAGGTATGTCTCAATTTAATGTACTTCGATTAATATGTGATGTTTAGTTTCATGCAGATCCGAAGAGCAGTATTTGATACTTGCCACTCAATCGGAGAAAACCACCCAGTCAAGACGAACCGAACCGAAGATCCGCAAAGAGAACTGACCAGAGTATACTTTACAGAATTCAGATCCTTATATTCGTACGGAAGGCGATATATTGATATCCTTTCCAGATTTTCTAGATTCTCAGGGAGACAGATAGACAGATATTCACCTTTATGTCTCTATGGAAACACGACAGGTACCCTTACGAGGGGAGAGTATCAACTTGGCGTTTATAAACCCTCTCTGCAAAGGAGGTAGGCGCATGATGGGTTAGGTATATACAGTGTTCTTCATTGCAGAGAAAATTGTTGTATATCTGCCTGCCTCGTCTTCATTGAGATACTTGATGAATTGATGAATTACAAAAATATATCGCGTACCAGTTACGAATGTTGGAAACGATATCCAGACTTTTCATAGATTTATATTCTATGTGGGTCTCACGATTCAAATTTGAAATTAATACTTAGTTTTAGATCCGAGCAGTACATTATTGTTTGGCCTTCAAGATCCTTAATACAACCCACGTTATTGAAAATGTGGAGGAGATGCCTACTGGCAAAACCACTATTCGGAAAGAAAGCGGATATGTAGCAATCCAGTTACGGACGATGAAAATATCATCCAGGTATGTCTCAGTTAAATGTACTTCGATTAATATGTGATGTTTAGTTCCAGATCCAAAGAGCAGTATTTGATACTTGCCACTCAATCGGAGGAAACCACCCAGTCAAGACGAACCGAACCGAAGATCTGCAAAGAAAACTGACCAGTGTATACTTTACAGAATTCAGATCCTTATATTCGTACGGAAGGCGATATATTGATATATTTTCCAGATTTTCCAGATTCTCAAGGAGACAGATAGACATATATTCACCTTTATGTCTCTATGGAAACACGACAGGTACCCTTACGAGGGGAGAGTATCAACTCGGCGTTTATAAACCCTCTCTGCAAAGGAGGTAGGCGCATGGTGGGTTAGGTATATACAGTGTTCTTCATTGCAGAGAAAATTGTTGTTTATCTGCCTGCCTCGTCTTCATTGAGATAGTTGATGAATTGATGAATTACAAAAATATATCACGTACCAGTTACGAATGTTGAAAACAATATCCAGACTTCTCATAGATTCATATTCTATGTAGGTCTCACGATTCAAATTTGAAATTAATACTTTTGAAACCACTGAACGAGTCACGAGTCTATACGTCTTTAATATTTAGTGGAAGTGCATTGCATATTTTCATTCCCATATATCTGAAACTATTCTCCAGTTTCGTCGTTTTGTGTGCATGAACACATATAGGTGATCAGAATTTCTGAATCATAATAGTGATTCGAGGAATTGAGTTGAAATGTATCAATATTTTTCCTCACATACAACATACTCTGATATATGATGTATATGCTGTAGAGAGGCATTATCTTATATTTCAGGAATGTGGACTTACACGTTTGTCTGAAGTCTAGACTGAACTTTTTTTTTGTGTTACATACCTACATACTTTTAGAAAAACGTTAAAACGTATTTTTTTGATTCCTTTAACCCCGTTTGACGGTACGTATTTTCTTCGAGATTTCACTTTAGTTGTGAATCTGTTATCCTTCAGCAAGATTAAGTGAAGTGCATTTTTCATGGTCGTGGTTGTGAAATTATCAGTAAATTATTTATAATGGGTGTTAGTTCTTGTGTGGCGAAACGAGAAACATGTTAGGTACGTGAAATCAACTTAGCATTACGAGAAGATAAATATAAATTCAAAAACGAATAAATATTTTTACTAAGAACGGCATAGGAAGTGGCTTTTCTGTGATACTTGGCAGGCAGCAAAGGTGTACTTTGTCTGCCTAGGCAGAAAAAGTTCGTTTTCTATGCAAAGTTTCGAATTATTTGAATGAAATTGGTGATCAAAATTGACACTGACAGTGGGCGAACACAAAATGATGATATTTTGAATGAAGATATATACGAAATGGGTTTTCTTACGTCCATTCAAATACATTCATTTTCATTAGCTTATAATTTTTATCATTTCGCATCTTTGTCATTCATAATAAATTAATAAATCATATATCGCGAGTCATAACCTCGTTGCTGTCTTCAACAGCGCTTGGGTCATCTATCGGGTAAGCTTGTAACTGCCAATGTTAATGTTAAGTTATTGTTAAATCAATGTTGAGCTAATGGTAGGTTGATGTTAAAGTAATGTAAAGGTAAGTCAAGTTATGGTCAAGTTGATGGAAAGTTAGTGTAGATTTACCATGAGTTATTGTCGTTAATGATGACGTAATGTTGAGTTGATGAGAAGTTGAAATCAAGATAATTTCAATTGAAAGTTGAATTAATGTCAATGTATTGGCAATTTAGTGTTTAATGTGGAGTTAATGTCATTTAGATATTGAGTTAATGTTAATTTGATTTTAAGGTAATGTTAAGTTGATTATGAGTTAATGTTGATTTAATGTTGAGTTGATGTTGAATAATTATTGAGTTAATGTTCAGTTGATGTTAAGTCAATGTCAGATTAATTTTACGTTAATGTTAAGTTGATGTTGAGTTAATGTTGAGTTGATTTCAAGTTAATGTTAAGTAACTGTTGAATTTATGTTAGTTGATGTTGAGTGAATGTTGAATTGATGTTAAGTTAATGTTGAGTTAATGTTGAGTTCATGTTAATGTCAATGTTAAGTTAATGTTGAATTAATGTTAAGTTATTGTCAAGTTAACGTTAAACTAATGATGTCATTTAAATATTGAAGTAAAATTAAATAATAATGATAATGATATCACCTTCATGTGATCGAATATGATTAATAACATGATCCCTACTCTGGTCTTATGAACACTCATGACATATAAAATGAATATTTGTGGTCGTAGGAAAAATAGTGTACAAAACTCGTTGGAAAGTGCATTTCCTGCGCTCGTTTCGTCACACACTAGTTAGAGTCTTGCTGTTTGTTGGATGAACGAGTCTTTGGAAAGAGATGTTCTGCAGGTCTTCAAAGTGACCACGAAGGGGTGCGAAGCCTCAACTCGACGGGGTTATCTCGCGGGGACTGCCAATGGAGGAACAATTCAGTATTTGAGAAGAGCATCGTCCATGAAAATATCTATAAAATAGGACCAGATCGCCAACTTTTCTACGGTGTTCCAGAGAAGTGAGTGAGTTTGTGAGCGAGGCATCACCCACGAGACGAATTCCCCTTTTTTGGACAGAATCCAACAGTTTCAGAGTATGTTTGGGTGCTGCACTCCAAATATGGGAACAATATTCCAGGACAGGTCGAATCTGTGCCTCATAGATAATAAGCAGCTGACTGGAAGTGAAATAGCTCCTGGCCCGAAAAAGAAAACCAAGTTTTTGGGATGCACTTTTAGCGATTGATATCACGTGATTTCCCCAAGAAAGATTATTGCAGATAGTAAAATACCAAGCATCGAAATGGATGTCTGAATCAAAAAGTAGGTATTGAAAGTGTACGATAGGGCTTTCACCAAATTTTCATGTGCCGTCACCATTTTATCAAATGTAAATATTACAGTCACAAAAATGATGGACCCCGCACTATTTATAGGTAAAATGGTTCACGACGGTGAAAATTTCTGAATCCTCAGTAGGTAGGAGGTATTGTCTGTTTTTATTTTTATTGTATATGTAATTTGATGATACTCTGTATATGGGTATTTGAGACACGAACAAATATAGAAAATGCAATCACACCAACTATTCCAATTTCCGATGCCATGTGAAGCATGTTGTGAGACATCTTAAAGCTCTAGTAACTGCTGTAATGCCACCTAACGAAGGATGACAAACATTCATTTTTCTTTATAACAATTTTCACAGTCAAGGTTTATCTCTCCGAACAATAGGTTCTCTAAATAATATTTAATCGCAATGGCAGAAGAAACATTCTTAGTGTTAGTGCTTTTGAGTTCAGTGAATGCTTACCGATATTATCCCGAAGAATCTCCTAGACACAGTTTTATCGATATCTATAGCAATGATAGACACATTGAAGATGTTATGAAGATGAATTTCCAGGATAACCATTCTCATAGACGTCCACATATGATTGAAAGAATATCTGACCATAGTGGGGAGGGGAATTCTGATATGGACACAATCGATTTCCATTATCCACGTGTTGAATTCTTGACTAAAAATCACGAGAAGAACGTCGACTTGGTATATGTACCGACTTCTTCATTAGCTTCGTTACAAACCCTTCCCACAGTGGATGGTGTTGAATATGCGGACAGAAAGAGGAAACCAAGGTTGAAAATGAAAACTAACAACCATTCTGTGCCCGAGTACGAACCAGTAACTTTATCATTTGTTCAGAAAATTCCAAAACCTTTAGTACCGGATACTAATGATATCAAGGACACGAAATATGAAGAATTAGCAACAGGTACCACAGAACATAACTCAGACGACCAGAACACTGTTAAAGAAAGAATACATTTACTTCTGAACAAGTACTTGACAAATCTATATTCCCAAAAGTTCAATAATTCCTACGAAGTTGCAGATACAACTTTTACAGCCGACGATGCAGATGTTGATGCAAAAACAAATTATTTAGATAAAAGTTTATTGTGGAGTCTGAAGAACAAAACGATAAACAAGATCAATAGATTTTTCAGCTTATTCACAATTCTACAGTTCAACAATACCCAATGTAATGTCACCAATTCAGCGGGATCTTACTTGGGGATCTGTTATACAGCCTCAGAATGTTCAAATTTAGGAGGAACTGCCATTGGCAATTGTGCCAATGGGTATGGAGTTTGTTGTGTGTGTAAGTTTTCTACGATTTATATTCTACTGTGAAATTTCGAAAATTAGACGTGTGTTCGTTCCATATCTTTCCAAAACACAAATCCACTCGTTTCCCTTTGGTGGGATTGAAGTATTTCTTTAGCCCTATTCAATATGGTATAAAGTAATTTACAAATAATATGGCGCCCATGAGATAAACAGAAGTTGCATGATTACATTTCTATTTATGGGAAATTTCTTCCTGCAATATTAACCAAGAAAATAAGTGAAAACATAATGAGCGATTTTCAGTTTTTTCAGGAATATCTGAAATTTTTCCCAGTTTGCAAAACAGTATATTAGGATGTCTAATCCACTCAACATTTGTATAATTTGATCAAATCCTATCTCTATCATATCCTATCCTATCCTATCGCGGGAAGTTTGAATCATTCTGTACATAGGACATACCTCTACCATAAAAAAAAACAATATTTAGATTTATCAATTCGATGTAATTACCAAGATACGGAGTCGTGTTACTTTTTTTTGATATAATTGATTCCCCTTGTACCTTTTTAATCGTTTGATCAATTTTCCTGAAATATTTTACAATCAGTGTACCAATCGAAGTCAACTTTTGGCAATCCAAAATGTAGCCAAATTCCAGGCCCGTACATGAAGAATTTTGATCTAAGGTCGATCTCTCGCTGCTTATTCTTCTTGAAACTACATGGATTAATGAACGAAAGAAAATCACTAACTTGTTTGGCACATTCAAGGTACCCTTGAAATCGAGTATGAAATGAAATATCGCTTTCCATGATTGAAAAATCAGAAAAAAATATGACATGGAATTTACAAAATGCATTCCACCAGCCTCCCTGTATTTTTGTGTTCCTTTTCATGAATTTTGAATTGAATTTCAAGCCATTTCTGGACAAAATAACATAACATTTGTTTTTCTATCAAGAAGGTGACCAAATAGGTACCTGGGCTTGCATTTTTCCGGTGGATCACAAGCCACAGAAGGACGGTTTTTCGGACATTATTTTCAGATGAAGCCCAGCTTACACTAGACGGCAAGTGAACATATACACACAGGAAGACAAGCTCGTTAAATTTTCAATTGATGTTTGGTGTGGTTCGCTAAACAATTGATTATTTGGACCTATGTATTCAATCGAAGGTTTGCGTGCGCTGTTTATTTGATTTACTTCAAAAAAATGTGACTGGATTGCTAGAGAACATTAAATGAGAGGAATACATAGCCAAAATGATGATGCTCCGCCTCATATTGATGTTGCCATTAGGGAACACCGAGATATAAGATATAATCAATTTCCAAATCGTTGGATTGGGAGAGGAGGGCCACTTCCTTCACCAACTAGGTCCCCAGATTTCAACCCTCTCGATCATTCTTGGTGGGGACATTTGATGCAGGAAGTCTACAATTATCCTATTGGACACAGAGTACAGTTGTTGAACCGTATCGAAAATTATTGTGATGAAGAAATCAAACAAATCCTCAAATGATTCGAAATTCTATTGAATGTTAATTTCAGAGAGCACAAAATGTATGTCCGGGCCTGACATTTTTTTACATTTTGTATTTCAGGAAGTTGACACGAACAACTCTCTATAATGCATTAGGTACCTGTCAGACTCAAAAAATATTTTTGTTGAGAAATTAAAAAAAAATACTGAAAGAATACTCAGTCTCTGACTCTATTATTTCTTGACGTGTACATCCATCTGTTGTATGGCTGCTATTGCAAGTACTAATAAATATATTTGTATTTGTGTTTGTATTTGTATTTGTATCATCTTGAATCAAATCAAGAACTTATCCATATCAAACAGTCTCAAAAAGAAACAACATTATATGTGCTACAGATAAAATTATTTGATAACAGACTCATGATTCAAAGATAATTATCTGAACGTCATCTGGTTGCCTGAGACTGCTAACCGCCCCCTTTTCGCCGCAATTTTCCAGTTATCGGCACCTGCGGCGGCTCGGCCCAGCAGAACTGCTCCTACTTCCAGAGCCCCAACTACCCCGACTTCTACCCCCCAGGGGGCGCCGTCATCACCCCCACCACCGCTGTCCCGCCCGCCCCCACCGGCAACCCTTCGCCCACGCCCGACCCGCGGCTTCCCGCCTGGTACGACTTCCAATACAGAGACGAGATGGGCAGGCAGAGAGATGAGATGGGCAGGTATAGAGATGATATGGACAGCCATAGAGATGAGATGGGCAGGCATAGAGATGATATGGGCAGGCAGAATGAAGAATTGGGGAGGCAGAATGATGAAGTGGGCAGGCAGAGCAACGAGTTGAGCAGGCAGAACGACGAACTGGGTAGGCAGAGTGACGATTCGCTGTCGTGCGTGTTCAGGGTCTACAAGGTCAACAGTGACGTGAAGAGGATGCGCATTGACTTTCTGGATTTGGAGGTGAGTCCCGCTGACATACCTAGTAAACACAAACATCCCTTGAAAAAACATCATTGGTATTGCTAGGGGACTCCTTATTTTACAAATTATTCTTCTGAATATTCTTCACATTTCATTGACTTTGAGGCTTCAAAATGTAGGTGAATTTGTGATGCTCCCTAACAAACAAGAGAGTCATTGGAACCTCACATTCTTGTCTATTTATGTAACAAACGGAATCAATGACTTTCGATGTTGAATGAGGAGTCGCTTCAATACGTACTGTGAGTTTAATTTGGCATCATAAAGTGAAACATGAAAAGACCAACAGGGTCCGGAATAGCAGTCATTGTATTTTCAGTGAGACTCTCAATTCAAGTCACAGATGGGATGTGTGGCATGAATGTGATTACCTACCTCTTATATCTCTATCAAGAAATCAAGAAAATTCACTGAAATTGAATGATCTCGAGAATTACTATTTATTCTGAATATCTCCGGCTCAGATTTCTGCTGAAATTACTGACTACCAAAAAGTATACTATGGAGTCAACAATTTATCAATAATGATGTGAACATATTTTTAGTGCATGAAAATATCATAATTGGCTCCACATCTCGTGATTAAATTATGATTATGCTCGCAGTGACAATACTGTTTCTAACTCATTTGTTTAGTGTTAGTTACTTTTATGTCCTTTATTGCCATTATTTAATGAAGAAGAAGAGTTTATGATTATCTTACCTGCCCAATTAGTCTGTCCTAGTCCTGCACCTGACATTTTTCTAAATTATTATTCAAACTGACAGATTTTTTGTGTTGAGTAATCACTCATGTCCCCGAAACAAGTAAACAACCAAAAGCTGGAAGAAAATATGGTGTTTTTTTTTAAAGAACCTGAATCAGATAACCGAGAAAACTAACGTAGCTGGCTTATTCAAGCGAAATAGCTTGACAAACTATCCATCAGGCAACTCAAATGGTTTCCTGGTTTCTCTCTGATATGTCAAAATTGTAGTCTCATACTTTCTCTACTAATTGGAACTTCAAGGACAGGTTTTCAAGTAGTTGGTCACACAAGTAAACCTATATGTTTATAATCACCTATTTTCTATTTTTCTATAATTTCTCTCAAGTGAACTCTCATATGTTTTTGATTACCTATTTGCCGGGGTAGCTCATAGTTTTTGGGATATCCAATGGTATGAAAAAATCCAGATCCGTATTTGATAAAGAAAGGAGTTGATGGTTTCTGAAAGACGAAACGTCGGATTTAAAATTTGGAAACGCAAACTTGAAGGAAAGAAAAAGTGGCCTTGAGAAGGAGCCATCAATTGCGATCAATCTCTTCAAGTTACTTGGAAGAATAAAATGAAAGAGGTTTTAGGAAATTTCGGTTTGTTTCGCATATCAGTTACGTTTGTGTCCCTAGCAGTTATTCGTAGAAGCACCTCAGTATTTTTTGATACCGATTTAGTATTAAATAACTCTTTTTCAACATTCACTCTACATACAATAGAATATTGTCTTTTCTCGATTCGTTTTCAAATGAAAACTACCAAAAAGGCCCACTAATTTATTGATGAATTTGAAAATGTGACAAAACTGGAATGCTTCATAAAATACATTAGTTATGTAATTAAGTGTGTTAGTTTCTTTCCTAAAACCAACAAATTCTATATTGTTTCCGCCTTTTTTCATCACAAGAACATATCAAAATGGTGACCGTTAGTTTCGGATTCAAAAGTGAATTTGATAGAGGGAAGCAATTATCCAATTCTGAAATGAAGTTATCTACATCTGTGATTTTCGTATCAAAAATAGCAAAAATATCGTCGACATATACAGGGTGTCCCATAATTGCTGTGGCACAGAGCTACCACCTGTAATACAAGTCAAAATGAGTTGATTAGAACTTATTTATACCACAAAATGTACCGTTTGTCCGTGGGACGAGTTCGAACTTTACATAAAAAAACACACTTTTAGACACTGTTCAAAAAGGAGTGAAACTAATTGGATGAAATTTGATAAAAGTGGATTCTAGAGGATTACCATCCCGGTAATCAAAGAAACCCAAAAGAAATTGTAGAATGGTTGAAACCACCCTCATCCCTGCCAACATTCTTAGGGTTCTAAAAATTCCTAAGCGATATGACTGATCAATTATCTTCATTTTGTTACCCCTGTGAGAATTTCGTAGTCCGCATGGTTCCGAAAGAAAAAAATGTTTCCTAAAATAATGCTAACAGATATTCCTAGTAAAACTTGATACTTAATATTTTGAATTATTCAGGATTATTCAATGTATAGTATCTTCTTGAAACTCTGTTTTTTATTGTAGCTTGCCAGCCCCACAAACGGAACTTGTACCACTGAGAGACTGGTGATTTCTGGTCAAAATACCAACGATGTTATAACATCCATTTGTGGTTACAATACAGGAGAACACAGTGAGTCGCAAATATGTATAACTAGTTACTTAGAAAACTAAAAACATGAAATATATCCAGAAGCATTTTTATATTTTGCTCTGCAGCAGAAAAATGTCAGACAGGTGATTCTTCGACTGTGAAATATCAGAAATAAATAAAAAAACACTTGTCTGACTACTTGATTGAACAAAATAATTCCTGAGAATGATTGTTTCTACCCTTTCAACTTATGAACCTATTCCTTGTGTGATTATAAATAATACCCAAAAGTTGAAAAATATACTCATAGAATGTTAAATACTGTCTGTGAATCGAGGAGGTGGTACATTCATTATTCCAGATTTTTTGGGATTTTCTCTCCTCGTTTCTATAAAATAAAAATATGAATAGTATTTCAATATACGTGTAGTAAGGACAAATCAAATTATTATTATAATGTGACTGCGTTTAAAGAATTTTTCTATCAGAGAGTCTAAAAGAAAAATTCACTAGCTTGTCAGTGACAATTTGTATTGAAAAAGGTTTGGAGAAGAGAAATAAAGGTATATAGAAAACATATCAAATTTTCAATTAGCTTTAGGAGACAATAGCATTGCTTCTTGTTCAGATGTTCAGATTCTTGTTCTGATAGATAGAACATGGTATTCACTACTTACTAATATCTGAGAATGAAAATGCTATAATTCAAGATCAATTAATGAAAACATCCTGTAACTCATTTGATTGCCAACGTCACAATTTTCACTGAGAACTGAAAAGTTTCAAGACAGATACGAATTTGCTATTCAAATAATTATTTTTTATGTTTAAAACGGCAGCAGATTCGTTCCCGAAACGTCCAAAGCTGAGTGTGTGATTTTAGGTAACCTATAACATTGAAATTTGGAGACAAACCAATTCTTCATAATCCTCAGAAGCTAAGAGATATACAAATATAATAGGGGACAAGATAATTGTATTTCCGATTGTTCAATCTTATCAAAATATCGAGCTTGGAGAAAACTATGATGTAGGTACCTTATTTAGAATACATATTGAAAAGGTGATCCAATGCGATGCCACTGGAATCATTATTTCGAATCTAATTACACCAAAACAAGCTTCTTGATACCGTTAACGGAATCACCAAGTTTCATTAAAATTGATGAATTGCATTTTGAGTACTTAATTAATGAAAACATCCTGTAACTCATTTGATTCCCAACGTGACGAATTGTCAATGAGAAATGAAGAGTGTCAAAACAAATACGAATTTGCTATTCAAATATTCATTTTTCATGTTGAAAACGGGAGCAGATTCGTTCCCGAAACGTTCGAAGCTAAGTGAAAATTTGATATTTTCTCTATATACCTATATTTCTCTTCTCCAAACCTTTTTCGATTCAAATTGTCACTGACAAGCTGGTGAATTTTTTAGTAAAATTCTTTGAACGCAGTGACATTTTGGGGAAAGTCATCTGATTTGTCCTTACTACACGTATATTGAAATAATATTCATATTTCTATTTTATAGAAACGAGGAGTGAAAATCCCAGAAAAACGATTTTTCATTGAAACTGTGTTACCCTGTATCTTGCTGAAGAATTATTTCTGGACCTAAGTTTATATCATCTTTCCGTCTCAGAATCACCCAAATAACCACCCCTTGAAGTTTGGCCACATAGTTAAATAACACCTGTATATTTGAAATGGAGTAGGTAAGCATAATCCCACGAAACACACACACAGACACATTTATGTCTCGCTAGGTGATAATGCGAATTACAAGAGAACATAATTGGTATTGCCAGGAGATTCTTTATTTTGAAAAACATTCGCAATATTCATCAAATTATGGCTTGCCTCCCCAGTTATGTTCTCTGCTAGCTAGGTTCATCTCAAACAGGTCTCTCCATGTAGTGGTCGACGGAGTTTCATCTGACTCTCTTATCATAAATGCTGGTGTTCTGCAAGGATCAATTCTAGCACCAACTCGATTTCTACTCCATATCAACGATTTGTTGGAAGCAACTTCATGTCCAGTACACAGCTTCGCGGATGATAGTACACTTCATACTGCCTTCTCTTCCAGAGCTCCAATACCAGCCAGGCAAATCAGAAACGAATGGGGAAGAAATGTTGACAACATAAATATATGGACTTGGCAACTATTCTCAAGTAGGGATCCAATAACTTGGTAGATTTCAATGCAAACAAAACACAAGCATGCCTTTTCTCTAGAAAAGCCGATCTCACTGTGCTCAACATGTCAGGAATAACTATACCTTTGAAGACATCCATTTCGATGCTTGGTATCACTATCAGCAATAACCTTTCTTGAGAAAATCACGTGAGATCAATTGCTAAAAGTGCATCGCAAAAACTTGGTTTTCTGTTTCGGGTCAGGAGCTTTTTCACTTCCAGTCAGCTGCGGCACAGATCTGACCTGTCCTGGGATAATGTTCCCATATTTGGATGCTCTTCTGAAATATCAACAATTATTCCTCCCTTGGCAGTTCCCGCGAGATTGACCCGTCGAGTTGAGGCTTCGCACCAATTCGTGGTCACTTTGGAGACCTGTAGAACATCTCTTTCCAAAGACTCGTTCATCCAACGAACGGCGAGGCTCTGGAACCGTTGCCAAGGGAGGTGTTCCCCGAGGCATATAACGTCCAGAAATTTAAGAAGAACACCAATACCTACCTTATTTCCCTTGGTTCTCACGATGTTCTCTGAACATTACAGGATATCCCTTTTCGTGGGAACCAGAATATAAAAAAAAAACATCTTAGTGGAATTGAGACATATAGAATGTAGGTGAATTTGTAAGGATCCCTAACAACCGAGAGACTCACTGAAACCTCAGATCAGACACAAACCGACTCAATCAATTTTGATGTTGAATTTGGCATCATGATATCAATCATAAAATGACCAAGAGGGTCCGAAATAGCAGTCATTGTGGTTTTAGTGAGACTCTCAAAACGAGTCACGAATGTGATGTGTTGCATGAATGTGATGCCCTCCAAAATCTCTGGAATCAACCGTTTTTAACAATCTGAGGAGAAAAAGTTACTTCAGGCCCTGACCCATATCCAATATAGTCGTTGTTATTTGTTATTGTGATTAGATATTCTGAATTTGAATCGAAGGATAAAATCTATAAAACTAATTAATTCTGGAATTTATTACATCACCTGACAATGTTATTTTCTTTACTTACAGTTTATGTCGACGTTTCACAGGTGTTTGGCCCTCTTCAGCTCATGGTACTTTCGAACGGGGTCTACCGTAAGAGGTTCCGTATCCGTGTTTGTCAGTTTTCTGACCCTTGTTCGGAACCAACCAGCAATTGTTTGCAGTACTACACCGGTGTCACTGGCATTATCTCTTCTTTAAATTACAATCAAGCTTCGATGTTCAACAGAAGCGTTCCCGGATATTTTGTGAGTCCGAAATCAACATATTTTCTATAAATAACTTTCAATGAACTCGATCCTACTAGGAAATAGTGGAATGAAATGTTGAATAAATACAAAAAAGCTCAGTCATTCCCACATTCATTTTACTTGATTATTTGAGATGCACTCTCCTCGTTTGAAGAAGAAAGAAAATGAAAATATTAGTATTATTTCAATATATACAGAGAAGTGCACAAAAAACGACCAGGACTGTAACTTTAGAATTATTCGAGATAGGGTTCTGAAAATCGATGGGTAGCAAGTATACCAAATTGTCCATTAATGGATGAAACAATTGTTCTTCTATCACTTCCAATTTCACCGGAAACGACCCCAACTTTTGATTTTTCAATGGGATACCCTGTATTGTATTGTATTCCATAATCGGTTAGGGATTATCATTACGAATTCAACGATACCGTGCTAGGGTTATTCCAAACAATCACAAAGATATTTGCGTTCGAATAAGTTTCCATATGCCCAATGGGTGTGACTTCGCAATATCAAAACTTCTTTCTCACTCATTGAGCATACATATCTGCGTAATCGTTTGAAATACCCTATATATCAAACCCTGTATCGATGAATTCGTTGTGACAATCCCTAAAAGAATGGACGATTCAATATTGAGGAGATATTACATTATTTTGAAAACTGAAAATTATCGACGTGAAATTTTAAGTTTCTAACAGTAGGGACACCTGCGTTGTAGGCATCTTTATCATTCTTTTGAAGTAATCAAATATCTGATGACAGTTCTGTCAGTCTAATTCTGTCATTTGATTTAAAAAAATTGCGAATTCAGTGGTTGTTTAGTAATATATACGTGACCGCAAAGTCGAATGAAAGATAAAAGGACTTGCAGTTCTTTCTCGGAGACGGTATTATTGACTCATTTTTCGGAACTATAGCACAACAAAAGCCATCAGCAGTGTATATATATATATATGTGATATATATCCAGGAAAAAAGTACTCAATTTTTTCCCACGGGAAAAAAGTAATTTATGTAAAGTGACATTTTATAACCTGCCAACAGAGATGAAATGCCAAACTTTTTTCCCGTCACAGAAAAAACACATTTTTTTGGCTGACCTATACAGGGTGTCCAGAAAGGTCTTGTAGTGAATGATAGAGGTGATTGAGTGAGCCAATAAAATAATATTAGTACTTCTTATAAAAAAATCTATTTTGATTTGTGAATGTTTTCAGAATAGCGTTTGTTTAATTTTCAGAATAATTTGAATTATGGAATCTGCATTCGGAGGGAGGCAGGATACTGTTCGATAACATACACGAATGTCAGGAATGGGGTTGAGAGTCCCTTCCAAATCCCTAATGTTGATAATGGTAAGAATAATAATTTTGCTAAGAAACCTAGAATCTCAAGATTAGGACTGTTTCATAAGTCACATCAGTACCTACCACTAGGCCAGCGACAACCGATTCACGAAAAGAACTCTCAAAATAACAACTAAAAAAGAAGCCAAAATGATCAAAGTGGAATGACATGTTAAATAAATACGCGGAGCTCAAAGTCATTCAAAATTACAATACTTGATTTCAGTTTGGGGTACAGCTATAGGTTATCAATTATGAAGCCAATCAAAATCCTTCAAAACAAAGTTATTAAATGTATATACAAACTAGATTACTTGAAACTAACAAGAAATCTTTATAAACCTATATAGGCTTCATTCACAAATTCAAAATAATACATTTCATCCATTCCGTCCAATATAATTATAAACATTCAAATCTGAATTTCGAAGTCAAAAGTCATAAACACGAACGCACATAACTGAACAAGAAGATATGTTAATCTCATCAAAATTGAATCAGATATGGATAAAAGATCTATTTTATACAATGGAACAATTCTCTATAATGAATTACCTGCCAGACTGAAGAAAAAATTAAGTGTTGAGAAATTCGAAAAAGAACTGAAAAAATACCTATGTCTTTGATTCGCTTATATCATCCTAAATCAATTCAAGAACTCATATTCAACAGTCTCTAGAATAAACAACATTATAATGTACTATCTATATGATTGAAAAATGATTATATGATTATCTTATTTTATTATTTTTTAGTTGCTCTCCCATAATTTTTCCTGCTTTGAACATATATGTTCCGTGGGAATAATGAAGATTATTATTATTATTATTTCCACAAATGTCCATAAATGAACGGGAGAAAAACAACTACTTTATTCCTGGCTGTATGTCACGCATAACATTATTTAATAGATTTTGGGAGGATGTAATTCAATATTCTGCGTGGCATACAGCCAGGAGAGTAGTTGTTTTTCTCTCGTTTTCTACCAATTTAGTTTATTCATGGACATTTGTAGAAATGACTTTGAGCTTCGCGTATTCATTTTTATAGACGATCATAGATTCTGAGCAAATACTTGTAAGATTTGGCACTGTTTTGGTTACCGGTTTCTGCTACTCTCTCGAGCTTGCAAAGTTGATAATGATTAGTGTTCACTCGTCGGCATGTGATTTTTTTTTCGAACTCCGAAGTCTATTGCGGGGGCCCCTTTTAGCCCCGGACGCCTTCCCCTAAATCCGGCACTGGGTATACATAGAGGTATACCACTTGGCATCACATGTAAGAAATTTTAATGAATTTATTCTACAGATGGCATAGTTACTCTTCCTAGAGGCATGGCAGGAGTTGATTCTATGGACTGTCCTAATGATTACATAGTTATTGCTGGTACCAGACTATGTGGATACCGATTCAATGACGGAACTGTGAATGCAAATTTGACAATGAATGCTGCTGTAACAGGTATTTTGTTCTCTGTTCATCTAGTAATGGTCCAAGAGACCAAGGCCCCCCCGACATAACTTATTTTCTAAATTACGAAATGTGGGGCATCCAAGTAGTGTTTATAATAGTTTATATGTACAGTGTGTCCAGTCTCAGATGCTTTTGCGTGATATCTCAGTTATCTTTCGAGATAGAAGCTTGCGGTTTTCGCGGTCCTGTGCCACTTATTTGTGAAACTCAAGATGGCCTCATCAGATTTTGCATAACTGTTTCCGTTTATGAGATACAGGTCAATTTTGAAAATTTATACTTTTTGGAGCTCCTCTATATCTATGTAGTATCTTAGCGAAAATCTCATTACATACGCAGATTTCAGTGGTGCACTCAAAATTTTTTGTCGGGGTATGCTTTTGGAGATACGACTCAAACTTATGATTTTTCAAATGGAACACCCCGTATTTCATAAGTTCATTAAATTCCTCATTTCATTCTCTCCAAAAATTATACATAATGTATGAATATCAAATTTTCAAAAATGCTCCAAAATCACTAAAACATTGAATTTTAACAGTGGGCTATGGATTTTTCACATAAAAAAAAGTTGAAGAAATATTTATTTTTATTTTTTCATGAAGATGACAAAAATAATACCAACACTAATTAACTGAGAAAACACTTAAATTAGGTACCTGATAGCAACAAATTCCTAGTAATGGAAACATTTTACTTGATTTGCCCCAAAATTTCACTGCGTTTAACAAATTTTTCTATCAGGGAGTCTACAAGAAAAATCCAGTAGCTTGTCAGTGACAATTTGTTTGAAAAAATGTTTGAAGGAGAGAAATATTGAAAAAATATCGAATTTTCACTTTCGGGACCGATTCTGCTCCCGTTCTCAACATGTAAATGCAAATTATGTTTCTTTGAAAGTTGTGCTGCGTATAGTTTGACACTTCTCAGTGTCATACTGATGTTGGCATATGAATGAGTGATTTTAGTCTACAAATGAGTTACAGGATGTTTTCATTAATTGATCTTGAATCTACCATTTTCATGTTCAGTTTTCAGTAGTGAATACCATGTTCTATCTATATCAACTGATCAGGAATCAATGCTATTGTCTCCGTTTGGAAGAATGCAAGCGGATTCCTTGATTTTTCTTTTTTGGTTGTTATCTTCATTTCCTATGATTTTGATATTATTCCACTCTGCCATATGTTGTCCATCTTCAGTAAGGATATGTTCAGCAAGCTTCGATTTATCGATATGTCTTTTCTTGATATTGTACTTGTGTTCATAAGTCCTTACTGAGAGAGGTCTTTTCGTTTCACCTGTATTATATACTTTCCACAAACATAAGGTATACTATAAATACAATTTTTTTTATTTAGTAATGGAAAGTTCATAATGAAGAACGAGCACCAGATTTAGTATTCACAAAAACAATTGAATTTAAAAATTATTCAGTAACTTATTCATTGAATTGTTCAAATTGATGTCCATTTTCCGTAACATACAATTGACACAGTTTATCAATACGTCTTGATACAGTAAGAGGCACAACAATCTTGAAGACCTTCGTGCAAGACCAGAGGCAGTTTTCCAGGAATTACAAAGACATCTTTCAATGATTTTGAATGAATTGAGACGTATTGAGAAAGTGTGTGAGGGAAAATGGACATCAGTTTGAACAATTCAATGAATAAGTTACTGATTAATTTCAAAATAATTTTTTTTTGTAAATATTCAATCTGGTGCTTATTCTACTTTATGAACTTTTTATTACTGCATAATTCATCTTCAACGAGACAATCCTTGATTTATTGGAGTGAAAAGATTTATAGCTATGATCAATGATTTGAAACACTTACGGAAATCTGTCAAAGATATGGAATATGCTTGCATAGTTTAGATGAATACTCAACCTACAAATTCTAATCCTTCTATGATATGTGAGAATTATTAGAGATTCATATTATTGATTTTAAAGAGACATGTTCTTTGTGATAATGAAGATACTTGTTCTATGTTATTTTATATATATTTTTGTTCTATGTTATTTTTATATATTCCTCTTTTATTCTATTTCATTTATTCACAATGAGAAATATACCGGTCTTGTATGAAATAATGCACGTATTTCGGGCGTAACTTGCTTCTATGGACCTTAGGCGTGTACTTACACGCCAGCCACGCTACGGTCCATAAACGCCTATTTTACGCCATTTATACATACATAACTATTATTCAACGTTAGTAAAGTCAGTATTCTACATATAAAGAAAATCTTCAGTGATTTGAAAGTTTATGTATATATCGTTGTAATGTTGTAATACTGCAGTTTGTAACATACTTCAACTACTGTACTGCAGTAGTAGAATCCTTCTCAATTAAAAATACGAAAACGTTGATCACACAATGCTGAATAGATGCTCAATTTAGAAATAATTAGAATTTGGAACATGGCTTCAGGAAAACTCTAATTCTGGTAACCTCTCGAAATTTTCACTGTTTCAGAAATTGAATGATTACATTTTTCATCATTGAAAATTACACGCATGGAACAGCGGCCATTGGAAAAGAATATTGAGACATTTTATGAGAAATTAGATTTTTCAATTTCATTTCAGATAGCAGCGCTGGACCCATTGTGATACCAGTCAGGACAAACTCTGCCCTCACAGGACTTGGTTTTAGACTATATTACACCCAAAATCGTTGTTCTAATTGAATTGGATTATAACCCGGCCATCAATATCTAATAACAAATATTTATTTCAAAAATATTATAATTCAGTATTTTAAGTGTCTATTATTTATTTCGATTTATTTGATAAATGCTACTACATAAGAAATCGTTATCTGAAGAAAGTGCTGGTTTTAATTCCCTTATACCCATTTTGTTTCATCCATACCATGTCTGCGAATAGTGCAAGCATGATTTTCTAGTTTAGGTGGAACGGTGGTTCGTGACATCAACGATATATTTTTCTTCGTGTTTTTCAAAGTCGGCATCAAAGCTTTCGCATCTGGTAGTTGGGTGATATGTGCTTTAGTCATTAACTTTTGCATAGCCTCCGGTGAAGCATATATATGACTTATTGAAGGATGGAAAACAATACTCATGTGAGTCCTAAGGTAGTTCAAATTATAGTCTATGAATAAAAAAAAAATACATAAAAAAACTATTTGAGAACAACCTTCCATAAAAATGCACTAAAAGGAAAGATATAGTTTCATGTTTGATGTCTTGGAGCGCACGAAAGGAAATTCCTATAATGTTCGTGGAACATCGTGCGTATCTAGGGAGGACTCCCTCTAACAGATTCAAAATCTTACCGCGCAAAAATTCCTATTTTATATCCGCGCAGATACAGAATAACCTAGATCAAACATAAAATATCTATTTATATATATATCAAGGGAGCAAAGGTGGGTATTTTTTTTATCCCGTGAGTTAATTGACAGATTAGTGTCCTTACTTTCGACACATCAGTGAGTAGATAAAAATATTTTTCTTTTCCAGTGCATTTGTATAAAAGCTTGTCTTTGGGGAGTTTTTCTTTCAATGTTTATTCAAACTTTTCAGTATTTTTATGATGTTCAATAATAACTTCAGTAATTTCTATCGTGTGAATGTACATACATACATATATTTCATTAATAGTCAAAACCGTTTATAAAAGCTTGTAATTGTAAAAATATACGACAACAAAAGCCACAACATACCAATTTTGAATATAATATCGGTCCATAATAATCATGAACGAAACTCATCCGCAATTGAAGTGGCCAAGAATTCCCCAATTTTGACGAAAAAATCAGAATTTCCGACTCCGATTAACCCCAGATACTAATTTTGAATAGAATCGGATCATGATTACAAAACTCGTTCGCCATATTGGATTCGTCATCTTGACATTCCCAATTCTGACAAAAAAGCAACAATTTCCGACCCCTAAAACTCACAGATACGAATTTTTAACAGAATTGGGTCATAATTACAAAACTCGTCTGCCATATATTGGATCCGCCATAATAAATTTTCCAACTTTGACGAAACAAACATAATCTCCGACCTCGAAAACCCCCTGATACCTAATTTGAATATAATCGGATCATATATTTACGAAGCTAGTCCGCCATATTGGATTCGCCATCATGAATTTTCCATTTTTGTTGGAAGAATCATGATAATGGCCCCCAAAAACTCCCAGATATAAATTTTGCATAAAATCGAGTCGACAACAACGACAAAAATTTCATGATGCATTGCCATGAAAAATATATACACCTTCCTAATTTCCAATCAATCAGACGATTAGAAGTGTGACATATTCAACTTGCAAGATCTAATTACAGACACACAAACACACCAAGATGGGTGAAATAAATGAAAGCTCGTGAAAAATAGAAGCGACTAAATACTTTTGAGTGTAACCATTTATTGATGAGATAATTCATACCGCAACTAGAAGCCGAAATGAAAATATAGGTTGAAATTGATTTTATACACTGTATATATTTGTGGTTTCTATGGCTATACTTTATTAAATATTGAACTGTGTGAGTCGATAACAATCAAACAAAACCGTCCCCTGACAGATAGTAATAGAATGTTTTGAAACAAACGGTACACGTTACTAGTAACCTACTTCAATACTCACGGAATTTTTTCGTGTAATTCTTTTCAAGTTTAGATTTGAAATCGTTACTGTTTCGAGAAATTGGACTGAAACATTTGACCATCATCAACTCTTTGCGTTTACAAATATTGTGTGATTATAGTGTTAAGTATAAACATGACTGAATATCCAATTCTTTAAATTCGGAAATGGATCCTGCTAGCAAGGATGTGAATAGTTTGTTCATAGAAACTGAACGACTATCCAGGTCTAATGGTGAGTTCAAGAAGGATTTTTCCACCACTAGCTATACAAGGTGTGCCTAAAAGATCTGTATAAAATCTCAGCACATCTTCCTGAGGTAAATATTAGCCGATTCAAAGCAAAATCGACATGAACACTCTAAGAATGTGTTTTGAAAAATCCATCTACGCACTGCTAATTATTCACTTACCAAATTACATTTAAGAAGATAACAACAAACAGTTTTTTTTTCATAATAATTTAAATATTCCGGTGCTGCATCGAACATTGAATAGGTACCGAAATATCTCGAAATCGGCTTACTTTAGCGTATTGTCAAAAGAGTACCTTTTTTGCTAAGAAATGTACAGGAAATGATTTCCTCAACAAATACAGTGAAAAAATACACTGGGAGAAAAATTATGGCCATTCTAAACTATAAGAAGTGCATTGAAAATCGCCCGTATTCGTATGTCGCATCCCGAAAAACCTCCAAATATCAATTTTTGAAGTGATACGTAATTTTCGGAAACTGAGCAATTTTTGACTGAGGTAAGTTACTTTAAATCGGCTCATTTTGAACTCAGGAATATTTGCTGAGATTTTGTTCCTGTCTTTCCGGGACACCCTGTATTAATAACCATTATTTATTCCTTTTCAATCCATCATTTTAGTATTGAAGAATGGAAATGGAAAACAATATTCCATTTCAACTGAATCATAGTCAACTATGATTCCCTTAGGGAAAAATCGAGTAAAGAATGCATCTTTATATGTTCTATCTCAAAATTGCACTTTTCTTTCAAAAATGTTCAAAGCCCCCAGATTATTCAGAAAAAATATCTCAGGAATGTGAGAGATATTTTCAAAAACTTCAAGAACAACCACGATATTCACATGATTTCAAAAGTAAAAAAATGTTGTTTATAATTCATAAACAAAAGCTGACAACCGCCTACAGTTATCCATAATTTTATTTCTGAAGAATAAAAAGAGAAAGAAATATTCCAATCTAACTGAATCATAGTCAACTATGATTCCTATATTTCCTATTGGGAAAAATTGAGTAAAAAATGCATTTTTATATGTTCTAACTCAAAATTGCACTTTTTTTTCAAAAATTCCCAACGCCCCCAGATTATACAAAAAAAGTCTTAAGAATGTGAGAGATATTTTCGAAAAAATTCACAAACAATCACGATATTCACATGATTTCAATAGTGGAAAAATGTTGTTTATAATTTATAAGCAAAAGATGACAACCGCCTACACGGAATGATTATGAAATAACGCGAAAAGAAATCCATAATTTTAGTATTGAAGAATGAAAATGGAGAAAAATATTTCATTTCAATTGAATCATAGCCAACTATGATTCCCATTGGGATAAATCGAGTGAAAAATGCATCATCTTTATATGTTCTAACTCAAAATTACACTTTTCTTTCGAAAATGTTCAACGCCCCCAGATTATACAGAAAAAAATGTGTCAGGAATGTGGGGGATATTTTCGAAAAACTTCACAAACAACCACGATATTCACATGATTTCAAAAGTGAAAAAATTTTGTTTATTATTCATAAACAAAAGATGATAGCAAATTTTTATTTCCACCTGTGAATTTGTGCATATATTCTTTTTTCAAGTTATATGGAGAAATTGATCGAAATGGATAACACTTTATCAAGTATACTTCTTCTTTCCTATAAGTTGGCGTTTTCAAATCGGAAATCCGACGTTTCGTCTTCCAGAAACCATCATCAACTTATCCGAACCTATGGATTTTTCATTTAATTTTTTCACACCTTTGGATATCTCGAGAGCTATGAGCTATCACATAAGTTCATTTTCAAATGTTCCATTTACAAAAAATTACATTTTCTGGCATTTTCAACAATATTCAATACGAAACTGTCAATTTTCGTAAATGAAACACTCATAACTTTTGACATATCCAGAGGTGAGACAAAATGAACTAAATAATCCAGTTCCCTATTTAAAAAACAATAGATTGTTATGGTTTCACGAAGACGAAACGTCGGGTTCCAAATTTGAAAACGCCAACTAGTAGGGAAGAAAAAGTGGCTATGTCAGTGTCATTAATTTCGATTAATTTCTTCAAATTACTTGAAGAAAAACATAGAAGTTTTGAGAAAGTTTCGGCTTTTTTGTATCTGGAATTTCATTTCAAAAGTTTCAAAACGGCATTTTGTTAAGCATGAAATTGCGCAACTTCGCCAAAATTCAACAATTCAATTCAATTCAATTCAATTCAATTCAATTCAATTCAATTCAATTCAATTTATTCAATAATAATAAACATGTGATACATACATATAAGTGATAATTACAAGTTCGTCTGTACATTTTCATAGTTATGCACCTATAGGTGAGTTAACACCTGTGTGTGTAATAATACAAAATATATTATGAGTTGAAAAATAATGGTAGTAGTAAGTATTGATATGTGAAGACTAGTGTTACAATTGAGAAAATAAATTCAATATAGTACTATAATATTAATATTAAATAGAGATGATGATACATCAGTACCTATATAAATGCTAGTTGATGTTATATTCATCAAGTCAACTTTTCATAACATTTTATTTTTGTGAGATTACTATTCAAGTGAATGAAATGTTTACACTTATCAACAAAGAGTTTGTACTTAGTTATCACTTTAATTTCATTTGGTAAGATGTTATAGATTTTTGGTGCAAGAGTTGTTATAAACCTTTGGTTTCCATCATATTTTCTGAATAGTACAACCATATGTTTGTTTGTGTACTGTCTAGTTTGGTAGCAATGGTTCACAAAATGTTTGTTTGTGGATTTGAAACAGAAAATGCAGTTACTAAGATAATATAGGCATCGGGAATTCAGAATCGATTTGTTATATAGACAATTTGTAGAATATAGTCTAATTTTGAATAATATTATTCTTAGTATATAGTTTTGTACTACATTCAGTTGATTTAATGCATTCTCATATAGTCCCCCCCACACAATGATTCCATAATTCAGAAGTGATTCGACTAGGGACTTGTAAATTTGTAAAAGAAGTGTTTGTGTTAAGATTTTGCGTATTATATAAAACTTATGAATCAATCTTCTCATTTTGTTAGTTAAGTCTTTAATATGATTTGTCCATTTCAGATTTTTGTCTATGGTGATAGATACCTAAATATTTTATGGAATTAGTTTCTTTTATTTTAAGATCATTTATCGTGATGGAATTGAATTGTGGTCTGTTTGAATCTGTCATTGAAAATGCAATATAATATGTTTTATCAGAATTTAAAGTTAGTTTATTTTTGTCGAGCCAACATTTTACCAGTTGAAATCCATGAGACACCATATTTTTAACTTTTTCCCAGGTTTCACCTTCAAAAAGTAGAACTGTGTCATCTTTATACCTGATAGAGATACCATTTATATTGAGGTTTAGCAGTGAGTTGATGTATGTAATAAAAAGAAGTGGGCCAAGCACGGTTCCCTGCGGGGAACTCAATATAATCATCCGGAAGGCTCTGTGAACGACGAGTGAGGCAAAAAGATTGTTCAGGCAACCCGCAGTGATTACGGATATCTATCTCTTTCTATTTTATGTTGGCTAATGGGGTTCGCATTATTTGAAATACTTTCTCGTTTTCTGCTTTTACTTGAGAGTATAGGTGATTAAATATAAATATTCATTCAGGAAAAAGGATAATGTTGCAATCAATTATTATCTGACAATAATTATTGATTGTTTTATTGCCTCAAGAGTGAAATTTCATTCTTATTCTTACATGATTAGGAAGGCAAATGAATACAAAATTGAAATTATATATTCTCATTCAAATGTCACAAGTTACTGTACTGAAGAAATAGAAAAACGATAGAATCAATTTGAAAAGAGGTTCTTGAATGGTGTGGAGTATACCTAAGGTCGATTCTAAGCCCAATTTTCAAGAGTACCTATTTTTCCATTTAAAAATATTTCACTATTAGAAGGCGAATAAGAGGCGAATAAAAAGTGAATAAAAGTACAATGTTAGCACAAATGTTTTGATCAAAGATGAATATCTGCGTCGCCCAGAATGTACACCTTCATTTTTTCCTTTCTGGAGAAGGAGAAGCTCCAAAGGCAAATCTGAAAAGACAATATTATGATGTAGCTCTTGAGTTGAAAAATGTGAACTTGTAGTTTCAACCATCAATATGTTTTTTTAGTACCACCTCAAAAAGATTGTCATTCTCCTTTTACTTTTTATTTCAGTGTTTTCACTTTTATTTGCAATATAGAATAGGCCTTCTCGAATAAAACAGTTTGTGGGTTTCAATTTCATTATCAATGAACTTTGAAACTTACATGGAAGCTGGAAGTTGTAAGCAAAACAATGTCTATATGAAAAACATTGTCCTCAGAATCCAAGTTATGAACATCCACAGACATTTATCCTGAAAATAAATTAAGGACTATAGTTTTTCGGAGAATTTGAACAATTTTCAAATTACCCATGGAGGACCATTTCTGTTTGTCTTGCTTGTTTTTTGCATCCAAAGGCAACACAATATAAACAATCATTGTTTATTAATTCGAAATCACAGATCTTTTCAACAATAATCAATTCACACCAACCAATTCAGTCCTTTCGAAGAAACAAAACATGCTAAATTTAGCGATATTTCATATAACAAAAAACAATAAAGTTCTGTCTTCACTTTTCTGCCTGTTGGGATGAAAAAAAAAAAAGATCTCAAGTACTCCAATAATTGGATTAAAGAAAATGTATACACCAATCCGCCATCAAACAACACGAGTGTGAAAGAGACAGGTTACCGTAACACAAGCTATCTTTGTTGCAGCTGCCCCTGACACACTCTGTGCTATTCGATAAACTGGCAGTCTCCCTTCCAGGTGTTTATAGTGAGTTCATTGTAATTCAAACGACCTTGAATCTATTACAATTTACGAGATACTGACGATGAAGCTCAAGCGCCTTTTTTTTTGTAAAATTCATAATTTCCTGTAGATTCTTCACGTCGTCCTAGCAACGAGAGCACTTGCAGCCTGAACGTACCGTTAGACACCCGTTTCGAACGCGAAGCGACTCCTCAGGTCAACAGCACGGTGATCGCGAGTCTGTTCGACAAGAGCCGATCGCAGCCGTTCTACGACAACGTCAGTCGATTCACCGCCAAGTCTTTTCACGATGGTGATTTCTGTTTGAACGGCATCGAGGAAAGTCCCATCAGGGAGGCAGATATGGACATTTATAGGAGAGGATCGTTGCCCTTCGAGAACGTGAGTTCAACCTGTCTGATGGAATGACAGGTTACCTATAAGAAGCTTTATTTCAGTTCGTTTATGTAATAATTTTTCGTGGCTATCACTGAACATGATAACATAACTAAACCCGGCGTCACCCAGGTGGAAAATCTTTACATTATCACCCAGGTGGGGTCTGATGTACCCCATAATTAGAAGCACGAGGAAAAAAATTAGAAATTTCTACAGATTTTTATGTGAAATGAGTTTTTCGATGTATTTACTCGATAATTATTATAAACAGAAACTTTTTATAATAAGTTCAATCTATGAAATTTTATCATATATAATACCACAAAGTGATGATATTTTGCCGGAAATATTCGGTGATTGTTACGACAGCTTGTTGCCTAGTAATTTCGTGAATGACATTGTTATCAAAACTACGAGCCGTAGGCGAGTAGTTTTGGTTGAATGTCATGAGCGAAATTAGAGCAGCAAGATGGAGTATGTCAATCGACGAATATTTCCAGGAAAAATAGAGTATCACGAGTTGTATTCGTATGACTATTTCATGATTGAATGAAACAATATAAGAAATAGGAAACATAATTTAAGTATATTCCAACTCGAACGAAGAAGAACGTAATGATAGTAATGAAATACAGAATTTACTATTTTAGATATTAACTACCTACTTATAGTTATTCACAAAGTGGAATGTACAATTTTGATAAACAGTATTTTTTTATTATCTTGGAGATGGTTGCTCTCAAAAGAGTGTATACAATTACTATCCAATTCAAACAAAATAAATTGAATTTATGTGACATGGAATAATTAAAAAAAAAAAGATATCGTCGCCGAGGGCTCGAACCATCGACTTTCGTATCCTGGCGCAACAACCCTAAGAGTTGCGCTACATCAGCTAGTAATTATATCAGTCAGTCACAATGACTTGAGAAATTGAAGAAGATTACTTCAAGAAGGAATTTGAATTCTATTATTGTTGTGTCAGACCAATATGCAAACTTTTTAAATTACACATGAAACGTCCAGCCAGAATAAAATTGTCTCGCCTTTCGTACAAAATATCTCACTAACGTGAATTATGAGTAAATGAAATAAAGAAGGAACTTAGATTATTGTCTCAGATTTGAATCCAAAGCAATCTTGACCAGACACGATGTCAAAATTTTATCGCTGATAAACGAGGTTAGTTGGTCACGTGTGGGTCAATTCGGCTTCTGTATTGGTAGAGCAAGTCCGATAAACTTTAATAAACAAAAAATATCGCTAGAATACAGAAGAAACCATGAAGATGGTCGATTCTGATTGGTTCTCGAGATCTAGAGTGGAATAGTCAAAGACAAATTGCGAATTTCTCGCGGAGAAAAAGATATTTTTGAGAACTGTTTACAATTATTCACCTCACAAGTGTGAAAAGACATTTTCCGCAAGAGTTAGGTAGGTACAAAGTTTTTCCTACGAGTGTTTTTGCCCATATTATTTATGAAAAAAATGGTTTTTTTCTGTGACGGGAAAAAAGTTTGGCATTTCATCTCTGTTGGCAGGTTATAAAATGTCACTTTTCATAAATTACTTTTTTCCCGTGGGAAAAAAGTGAGTACTTTTTTCCCGGATATATATCACATATATATACTCTGCTAATGGCTTTTGTTGTGCTATAGTTCCGAAAAATGAGTCAATAATACCGTCTCCGAGAGAGAACTGCAAATCCTTTTATCTTCCATTCGACTTCGCGGTTTCGTATATTACTAAACAACTACTGAATTCGCAATTTTTCAAAATCAAATCACAGAATTGAACTGACAGAAGTGACATCAGATATTTGATTACTTCAAAAGAATGATAAAGATGCCTATAAAACGCAGGTGTCCCTACTACTAAAAACTTGAAATTTCACGTCGATAATTTTCAGATTTCGAAATAATGTAATATCTTCTCAATATTGATTCGTCCTTCCTTCTGTCACAGAAAAAAATAGTGTATTATACACGGGAAAAATATTAGATTTTAGCTCACGGTTTTTTGTCTCCCTCCGCTACGCGTCGGGAGACAACACAACCTGGAGCTAAAATCTACAACTTTTTTCCCTTGTATAATAAATAACTATTTTATAGACAATATTTTATAATGATGCTACAAAATGACATATGAGACAGAATAATTACATGGATCATCTAGTTGGTGGAAAGCTTTTACCAAATCTATTTTCGAGATTATCTTCTTTCCTTCCAAGATGAATGTGAAATTTTCCATGTTTCGAAGAGGATATCAGTCAGGTACTGTATGGGCATTGTGTAACCTGTACTCACCACATGGACGCCAATATCCATTGGGCTTGCGAACCATATGCATTGGACTTGCCCATGAACTTTTTGAGGGTGCTGCTAACTTCTTAGGATTTAGTCTACGAACTTTGCAATGTATCGGAGTTTCAATTGTTATAATTTGATGCTAGATACTGTGCTTGCAGTTTTGGTATCACGATTGATAGAAGAACGTGTTAAATTTGGAAAAATCTGATTGACATTTTGTGGTAGTCGGAATTCTGGTTGATAGTTCCAATGCCAGATATATTCGTTACCCTTCTGAGATTGGTTCGATTATTCTTTCATTTTGCAGGTCTACTAGAATTCCGTATCTTTCAATGAAATCTGCTCCAATTATTGCATTATCACAATTGGCTTTAACAAATTGCCAGTTGAACAGTTTTTTTGTATCCTAAGGAATTTGTTACCAATTTTTCACACATAGGTTTGAATGAGGGAACCATTTGCTGCGTATAAAGGTTTCACGTGCAATGGCAAACCAACTTCCTTTTTTGGCAAGACTGAAACGTCAGCTTCAGTATCGATTAGGAAATTTCACTTTGCATGTGGATCTTGAATAAACAGGCGACAATTATTTCAGTTTTTGTCATTTGTCGCCATTAATGAATGCCTCGAGAGTTTTCCAGATTCTCAGCTTTTTCAAAATTGCATGGTTTGGTGCATCTTGTTGCTCGTTCTTTGAAACTTCTATGATACAAACATATATCGTCATCTCGAGGAAGCGACTTTGACCTTGAATTGAATCTTCGACTGGGTGTTCAATTTCTTTCCCTTGATCTCGATGGTCTGGATTTTTTTGAGTCATCGAATTGTGAATGGTCCATATATACTCCATTGAAAATTGATCACCCACTATATTGTACAATGCCATACAGTCTTTGTACATTTCTTTCTTTAGAAATCAGATCCATTGATTTCACGCGTGTCTTTTGTAGGACTTTCGATTGACATTAAACATGCATTATAGACGAAATAGACGTGGGTGTTCTTACAGGCTTCCGTGTTATTATACCGATAAGTACACGTTATTTGATAATGTCGTCATACTTATCAATATACAATGAGCATCGTCACTCCGTGACTCCATCGAAATATTCTTTGAAAATCTTATTCTTTTCTCGAATCTTTAAGATCGATGAGAAACAAACCCTATTTTGTTCGTGAGTAAGTCCAAGAGCATATTTAGAAAACGCGTATTGACGAGTTACTCATATTAGATTTTGATCTCCAAGGCATTCGATCGAGTCTGGCACCACGGACTCCTCACCAAGCTTCCATCTTATGGCCATCCCCAGTTATGTTCTCTGCTAGCTACTTACTCTCAAACAGGTTTCTTTATGTAGTGGTCGACAGAGTTCCATCTGACTTTCTCATCATAAATGCTGGTGTTCCGCATGCAAGGATCAATTCTAGCACCGACACTATTTCTACTCCATATCAACGATTTGTTGGAAGCAACTTCATGTCCAGTACACAGCTTCGCGGATGATAGTACCCTCCATAACGCCTACTCTTCCAAGGCTCCAATACCAGCCAGGCATATCAGAAATAAACGAGGGAGAAATGTTGACAACATAAATATGGACTTGGCGACAATTCTCGAATGGGGATCCAATAACTTGGTAGATTTCAATGCAAACAAAACACAAGCATGCCTTTTCTCTAGAAAAGCCGATCTCACTGTGCCCAACGAAAGCTTGTCAGGAGTAACCATACCTTTGAAGACATCCATTTCGATGCTTGGTATTACTATCAGCAATAACCTTTCTTGGGAAAATCACGTGAGATCAATTGCTAGAAGTGCATCCCAAAAACTTGATTTTCTGTTTCGGGCCAGGAGCTATTTCACTTTCACTCAGCTGCTTATGATCTATAAGGCACAGATCCGACCTGTCCTGGAATACTGTTCCCATGTTTGGACTGCAGCACCCAAACATACCCTGAAACTGTTGGATTCTGTCCAAAAAAGGGCAATTCGTCTCGTGGATGATGCCTCGCTCACAAACTCACTCACTTCTCTGGAACACCGAAGAAAAGTTGGCGATCTGGCTCTATTTTATAGATATTTTCATGGACGATGCTCTTCTGAAATATCAACAATTGTTCCTCCCTTGGCAGTCCCCACGAGATTAACCCGTCGAGTTGAGGCTTCGCACCCCTTCGTGGTCACTTTGAAGACCTGCAGAACATCTCCTTCCAAAGACTCGTTCATCCAACGAACAGCGAGGCTCTGTAACACATCGCCAAAGGAGATGTTCCCCGAGGCAAATAAACTCCAGAAATTCAAGAAGAACACCGATTCCTACCTTATTTCCCTTGGTTTTCACGATGTTCTCTGAACATTACAGGATATCCCTTTTCTAAACTAAAGATGCATTTGTGGGGCGATTGGTGAGGTGGATAGTTGAATAGTAGGACCTCTTATCTTCTTCCATTGTACAGGGTGGGCCAAATTGGAGACTTTTTAAGGGAAAGTTCTTTTTTCGAACCAGATGTCGGTGCTTGAGGGTCTATTCTCATGAAAAACTCAATGTTGAAATCCGCATATCGATATATAGCCCAGTCACCTTAGGAAAAATAGCGGGAATCGGAGCCAAAGTTTTGAGAATTGGTGTACGTGTTCCTTTAAGCATTACATCTTACCAAAAAAAAGTCACCACCCGTACCTGTAGAGCTTTC